CACTGACCCCACTGGACACCCCAGTGCAGTCTGACCCCCAGCACTGACCCCACTGGACACCCCAGTGCAGTCTGACCCCACTGGACAACCGAGTGCAGCGTGACCCCCCAGCACTGTCCCCACTGGACACCCCAGTGCAGTGTGACTCCCCAGCCCTGACCCCACTGGACACCCCAGTGCAGTGTGACCCCCCAGCACTGTCCCCACTGGACACCCCGGTGCAGTGTGACTCCCCAGCCCTGACCCCGCTGGACACCCCAGTGCAGTGTGACCCCCCAGCCCTGACCCCACTGGACACCCCGGTGCAGTGTGACCCCCAGCGCTGACCCCACTGGACACCCCGGTGCAGTGTGCTGGGTTCAGACGGCTGGGCTGGGGTAACTCGCTCAGTTCTCTCTCCCTCTCGGGGTTCGCGGTCGAGTGTCACTGATCGGGTCTGTCGGGTCGGCTCACAGACAAACCCCCAGTAACCCAGAGCCGCCTGATCCCCGGATCGGAGACTGTCACCCCGTCGGTCTGGCGCTCTGCCGGCCTCCCTCCCCTCCTAATGTCATCCCTCCATCTCTGTCCCCCTTCCTGTCTTTCTTCTCCGGTTTCCATGTAAACGGCAGCCCCCCCTCCATCTTTCAGACCGGAGATTCGCGGCCTGCTGCCCCGTTCAGTCCCCGGCCTCGGGTTTCACCGCTGGGCCGTCTGAGCGGAGCTCCGCGTCGGGGGCTGCAGAGAGCCGGCCGGCCGTTCCCGTCCCCGTTTTCGCCCGTTTCTTACCTTCCATCTCTCCCTGCGTCGCTTCCTGCTGCTCCTCCGCCATCTTTCCTCTCCGGTCCTGTTTGTCTGACCCCCCTCCCCCCGGCGTCTCGCTCTTCTCCAACAGCTTCCGGGTCAGGCTGCTGGGGATCGCTCGGGGATGACGTCACCGGGGTTTGCATGGCGATAGCTCACGGCTGTATTGTGCCGGTTGAAACCTCTTCTCCTTCGCTTGTATTATCTGATGTTCAATAAAACTGAAAAAAAAAAACGGTCGTCTATACTATCGCGCAAACATAGCTTTTACCTAGTATCCCTCGACAGCTTCGAGTGGACAAATACTGAGTTAAACGGTTCGAAGCATCGATTGGTAGGGAATGAGACAGGAATGGTGTAAATCTCAGTTGGACAGTTTGCTTAATCTCCCGGTGCAGGGCAGTGTGAACCCAAACACAGGGCCAAGGTGAGTAAAAACAGCGGTTTCCTCTGAGCGATGACGCACTGTCAGAGTGTGTGGTGCTTCTGAACTGAACCAGCCCCGTGAGGGGCTGCAGAGAAACAGGAGTGTTCTGCAGGGATTCTGTGAGGGATTCCTGCTCAGAGCTGTCCAGTGCTGGAGGGTCAGTGTGTCTAGGACAGGGGAGGTGTGACCCACACTGCCCTTCCAAGACCGGGACTGGACAGCTCTGTTCTAGACACACTGACCCTCCAGGACTGGACTGGCCAGCTCTGTTCTTAACACACTGACTCTCCAGGACTGGACAGCTCTGTTCTAGACACACTGACCCTTCAGGACTGCACAGCTCTGTTCTAAAGACACACTGACCCTCCAGGACTGGACAGCTCTGTTCTAGACACACTGACACTCCAGGACCGCACAGCCCTGTTTAGACACACTGACCCTTCAGGACTGGACAGTCCTGTTCTAGACACACTGAACCTCCAGGACCG